CCACCCAGGAGCTCCAGAGGGCTTCGCACTGTAAAAAAGGGGAAAAGAGCCAAAAGCAACCTTTCCCCCCTCTTCTTTTCAGCGCTCCCTCTCGCCTCTGGGGGCTGGCTGAAAAAGCTCCATGCCAAAATCCAAGCAGGATTTTCAGCCACGGAGGATTTTCAGCCCTGGAGTGGAGAGGCTTCAGAAGCCTCTTGACTCTGGGGCTGAAAATCCAAGCAATTCGGAGGCCCTCGTGCACTCAACCTGCACCGCACTCCCACTCGGCAGCACCTGGGCTTGCAACTTCCTGCCGGCTTCCCTACTGACTTGATTGTGGGAAGCCGGCAGGAAGTTGCTCCACCTAACAACTGGGGCATTCACTTAATGACGGCAAGGGGGACTGCCAGGATTGCGGTCGCTAAAGCGAAGCAGTCACATAATTTGCTTAATGACTGCATTGCTTAGCAACCTAAATTCTGGTCCCAATTGTGGTCACTAAGCAAGGACTACTTGTATTTAATTTTAAATTGTAATCTAAGCAACTTACCATTTGAAGTGGAGGGCTTCACCTTTTCCTTCTGGAGTTTTCGGGTTCCCTTCTCAATTCGCAGCGTGGCCCACTATGTGGAAAGAGAGGGAAATCAGATGAGATCAACTTTTAAAGAAGTATATGTCCACAACTGCAACTTTTCTTTTTGCTTTTGATAAATTAATATAATTTATTTACCATTTGAACACTTCTATTTTTTTTTTAACTTGGCATGAACAGCTTTTGTGACAATTATCTGCCCTGAAGGTTGCAGCAATTTTCAGATAGGTAACAGTATTTAAGAGATACTTCTCAGCATTTGCATATTTAGTTTTCTTTTTAAACATCTGTGAAGAAAACCAGAAAACAAGAACATGCAAGTGTGCTTCTGGAATTCTTTTCAACTCCGTTACCAACAGTGGCCATAGGAAACTTCGGTATTTTCTTCTATGTAATGAAGTGACATGTTGCATTTCTGTGTATGTCTTTCTGCTTTCCCCTCCTACTGCAATTGTGTGTTGTGTGCACTGGGAAGCACACAATAGGCTGCATATGCTCTGATCAGAGTCATGTGACAGGAGAGAAAAGGCTTAGAAAGGATCAGCAATGAGAAAGGATCAACCATGTTCCAAGACTTTGACCAACAGCCTCTCCCAGCAGCATGCAATGGGGATTTTTCCCCCTGAAATTATTTTCTCTGAGGCCCTAAGCTGGATCCAGTCCATTTTCAAACCCAATCTGTCTTTTGCTAGGTTCTTCTGCCACGCCAAATTTGGTCCCATTCTCTTCTGTTTTCAGAGAGTCACCCTGCAAACAGAACCCCAAACCCTTTCCCATACAGGTAGTCCTCGAATTATGACGGTAACTGGGACTGGAATTTCCATCACTAAGCAATGTGGTCATGAAGTGCGATGTCACATGACTGCATCGCTTAGCACTGGCAATCCTGGCAATCCCTGTTGCCGTTGTTAACCAAATTCCACCAGTCGTTAGCCAAGGACCCACCGCAATTCAAGCCATTCCGGGCTTGGTCCCTCCCAGCCCTGAGCCTCGGTTCTTCCAAGATAAGGGACTGACTCCCCTTCAACTCCCCCCAACTGCCTGTTCCCCCATCTCTGCCCTTTTGGCCACTCAGCACCTTGCCTTGCAGGGTAACAAACAGCCCTAGGGCTGCTTGCCTGCTGCAGCTCAGGGGCTTCTTGCAACTTTAAACAGTTGCTGAATGAATGGTCATTAAGCAAGGACTACCTGTAATTTTTTCCCAACCTACCTTTGGGTTGGAAAGAATAAAAATCAACACAAACCTTTTTTTACAAATCTTATTTTAAAACAATTTCCTCCAGCTTGATTTTCAGTCAGGGTACCAACTGAGAAAGCTACTTGTAATCAAGTAGCACTGAAACAGTATAATAGCCAAAAAAATGTTTTTGTCAGATGCACACCCATCCAAAACTTTCTCAGTAAGCCTTGGCTAAACAAGTTATGATTTAGCCTATTAATGAATAAACCAGGGATTAATAAACCATAGTTTGCTGAATAAATCCTAATGACCTTACATACAACAATAATTGATAAGAGATTGAACCAAACACTGCATTAAACCTACAAGTGTCAGGCTATGTTGATACCTGTTCTACCAAAACTGAAAGCATGTTTTTTCTTCCTGTAATTATATATCCCAGGAGACAGTTGACTTTTATGTTCCTTGGGCCCTCTCTCTGCCTCCAGATGCAGGCCAAAAATTGTTTTTGCTATTTATACAGAACTTGCTATTACATCCTTCCTAATATTAAGGTGGCAGGCTAGTAACCAGAAGACTGTGAGTTCTAGTCCCGCCTGAGGCACAAAATCAGCTGGGTGACCTTGGGCCAGTCACTCTCTCTCAGCCCTAGGAAGCAGGCAATGGCAAACCACTTCTGAAAAACCAACTCTGCAATACGTATTTATGCATCAAGATTTCTGACTTAATGGCACGCTGAATGCAAAGGAAATTGGTGTTTTCCCTGAAACTTCTCAGAAATTCTCCATACTTCAATATTGTTTTAGCCATATACCAGTAGTACAAGGAAATCACTGCTGTAC